AGCGGAAAAGACCAAGGCAATTCTAATAGGCTCCAATCACCTCCTCAAAACTGTTCCTAACTTTCCAACCCTGTTCCTACATGATAATCCCATCAAATTTTATCCCGCCATCAAAAACCTTGGAATAATCTTCGATCAAACCCTTTCCTGGAAAAACCATGTGTCCAATATCTCCCGACGTACCTTTTTCACCCTAAAACACTTAAATAGCCTGCGACACCTTTTTCCTTTTGAAATCCGTAGACTCCTGGTCACCTCCTTAATATTTCCCCACTTCGACTATTGCTGCACGGTATATGGAGGCGTCTCTGGGGATCTCGAGGCGAAACTAAAACGTTTGATAAATTGCTTTGTACGATTCATCTTCGGGATCCCAAGAGACGCTCCTGTTTCCTGTTTTTATGAAGAGTTGAAGTGGCTTTATCCTTCCTACCGCCGTAAGTATTTCCTGGCATCTTTCCTCTTCCAAGTAATTCACTCCCGCCGTCCTTCATACATCGCCGAGCTCCTTCAATTTAAATCCTCTGTCCATTCCCGCAATACCCGTTCCCGGTCTTCAGACTTATATATAATGGCCCACCGAACCGCTGCTTTCGATAAATCTTTTATTATTCGACCCTCTTCCCTATGGAACTCCATCCCTCCCCACATCCGTCAATCCAAAACCCTTCCCACCTTTAAATTCCAACTGTTTAATCATTTCTTATCCATCCAGTCATCATAAAATTGTAAATAGTTACTACTGTAAATATGTATATAAATTATTAGATCGTTCTTTATTTTTTTTACTTCATGTTTATTTTCAATTTTTTACTTTTATAATTAACTGATGTAAATTAGAAAGTAACTTATAATTTCTCTTATTATTTTTTTTTCATTTATCTATTTTTTTTTTACTATTTAATTAAACTATATTCTTCTTTATGTATCTCTGAGGCTCCTTAGCCCACATTCTTGTCTCTTTGTATTATTCTAAAGGGACTCATCCCAGAATAAATAAAGCATTATTATTATTATTATTATTATATGTTATGATATTCTTGTCCCCTCACTATTTGTATTATGGGGGTAAAGCCCCCTCGCCACTCTGATGTCTGTGTCTATGATTCCTATAAACATGGAATGGTCTACATTTTTAAAGTTTAATCAGCTTTTAATTCACTACTTTAATTAATATTATAAAAACAAAGTGTTCACATATATTTTTGCCTCCACTATATTTCACTTGTGACAAGCGATTGTACCGTCACACGAAAAATTTATTGTTAATAAAATATATGTAGATGATTAACAAAAGGAAACATAAGTATCGACCTAAAAATGCTAGTTTTCGATAGATGTATTATGCCAGTGGTGACCTATGGCTCCCAAACATGTTCATTGACAAAAGCCCTAGAGAGGAAGATCATGGTGTGGCAAAATAGCATCGAAAGAAGCATTGTGAAAGTAAAGAAGATAGATAAAATCAGATACAAGAAGATAAAAGAAGAAGCAGGGCTCAAAGACATACTCTCGCAAATAAGAAAAGGCAAATGGAAGTGGGCTGGACACCTCCTGCGATGCAATGATAGATGGTCAAAAATAGTCACCGAATGGACTCCATATGAATGGAAAACGATGAGAGGCCAACAAATGAAGAGACGGAGAGATCCATTTAGGGTTTTGGCAGGACCTCTCTGGTGGAGAGCAGCTAGGGACAGAGATGTATGGAAAGAAAATGGTTAAAGGTCAGAAATCCCGCTTCCCAGAAGGGCTAGTCACCCAGGGAAGTATTAAAGACTATTACTCCTAAGGGAAGGCCTATGCAAGGATAGTAAAAAGTTTTGTATAAATTATAATAATGTAAAAAAATATTTTATTTTGTTTTCTTTTCTTTTGTAATTGTATGTTTTCATAGAAATTGTAATATTTATGCATAAATAAAGGCTATTTTCATTTCATTTCATATGTTGAAGATAGATGAAAATAAAATTAGATTACTTGTATAGACAAATCTTACATGAAACTAACATTACACTTTCATTCTAGGCTACTGGCGATTAAATGGAACTAACATCAGAAATCAAGTTGAGCTACACTGCCCAAAGATCTACACAAAGAATTATGGATTGCAACTTGGATTTCTGAAGCGCCTGCCTGCTGCTGTGCTTTCTATCCACCGCAGTCTTTATCTACAGTCTACCAATCAATAATAGGCTGCTGTTTACCAAAATTAAAAGAAGTTTCCATAGTCTTTCACCAGAAACTCCATACATGCTACATCTGCATCCAAATAGAACCTTGATATCTTTAAGTTGACATACCCCAGATCCCTTAGTGAAAACCAACCTAACTGTTTGAATCTTTATATTGTGACTTGATCCATCTTTCCTCAACTGAGATTCACACCACCGTAATCAATGGATGATACATATTTTAACCAAAGAGAAGTCTAGACTGTAGAGATGCTTTACTAGCCTAAAATAACTAGTTACCATACAAGATGCTATGCAACTATCTTCTGCTGGATATCATTGTACTGAATATACATTAGGTTATATAAGCCTAGTAAAAGTAAACAACTGCTAAATAGAACAGGATGCCTGTTTCTTCTACAAATATCTTATTTCCCAGAATGGTAAGTCTTAATCATTCTGCTTCTCATAACTGGCCCAAACCAATTCATGATGAATGAAAATGACTCAAATAAAAATAAAAATTGAAAAAAAAAAGAAGCTTTTATTATTATAGATTAATTTAAGAGTAATAACACCAATATAAGTTAACTGCATATGGGCAATACTTTGTAGATCTATTTGCAGTTAAATTTAGTGATTATTTCCTTCTTTTTTGTTAGCAAAATGAAATGACAAGATAATTGTATTCAGGGACTAAAGTTTTCTAAGAATAACGGCAGAGTTAATAAATTATCAATATTAGTATGACATGAATTAATGCAAAACATCACTTGTCTATTAACAGTTAATTGCAGTTGTAATTACAGAATTATATAATTTATAAATAGTTGCGGAAGTTTGATTATGGAGTAGCAGTGTAATAGAGGTTGTAGTTTGAAGAAATTTTTGGACAAAGATTGACATATGGAGATAGATAAGAAGTTCCAAAATGAGGTAGCAAGAATGATGGATTTGCTCAAGGAACTGGTTTTATGGGAGGGAATATATAGATCAATGGGTTGCGATCTGGTAATAAGAGAGGTGGATAGAGGAATATACAGTATAGAGTTGTAGGATGTAGGGAAGAGTTTTGGTCCTTAGGACTTGGAAAAGATAGAATTACCACCGGGCAGTAAGATAGAGTCACTTCAACTTGGTATACCAGCAAAAAACATTGAAATGAAGCAATTCATGAGTCTCTTCATCTCATCTCCAGCCTTGCAGACAGTCCTGCATATACCAAGTAACCGAAGTTGAAGTGGGGGAGGTTACAACAAGTTTTTGATTATTCTGAAGAATAGAATCATGGAATCTTGCTGTTGAAGGACAGTTATGGATTTTTGGGTAATCTGGAAAAATGGTTATTCCTGGAGAGGTTCTAATCAAAGTTGACTGCTAGGTTTTTTGCTTTCTAGAGTAAATGGATGGGGCAATAGTATTGAATTATGATTTTAAAAAAAGTATCAATTAATGCTTTGTTTAATAAAATTCATTTATCTACCGAACATCATTATTTAAAATACAGTTCTTTCTCCAAAACAAAACCTTTTTTTATGTTGATTGGATCTTTATGTTTCCATTTCAACTTTTCAATATTTTTTGCAGAATTCGATTCCTCATTGTCTCATTGTTACCATTTTCATACCCTAATGAAGTACTAGTATTTCATGAAAATTTTCACTAATAGTTCATTAGCTACATTTCCAGCCATATTATTGTACATTCTTGTAACAATGTAAATTCAGTATTTGTTTTATTTGATTTCATATTACTTCTACACCTAAACATAAAATGTAATTTGATAACTATAGTAGATATTTGCAAATGTGCTCAGCAATCTGATTGAATTATTTTGACGACATTGAATGCTTTTGCATTTAAAAAAAAAAATTATCAAAAGTGTCCTTCCCACTTAATGTATTCAGGGTGATATTTAAATTACATTTGAATCTGATTGAAAATAATGAAACTACCATTATTATCCTTTAAGCAAGTCCATCGATAGTTACTACTGCATGAAGATATGCAGTACCATAATGAATAAAAACAAAGCATTATTTTATAATAAAATGTTCACCGCATAAATTGCCTCAAATATTCAGGAGGACATCAAATAAGATAGATAAAGAAGCAGAAAAATGGTGTTAAAAAAGAAAATAAAGAAAAATAAATAAATAAATTGGTCCATTAGATTTTGCTTGATGAAGCAACAAACTAACATAGTTTCACATTCGTTTATTATTGTGATAAGATATATATATATATATATAAATCTCCTTAATAATGATCATTATTAATTGGAAAGATTTTGCTCAGAAATAATGATAAAGATGTTATTGTTTTCAACTGTCGACCAAATAATAAAAATGACTAAACATATCATTTATCTATTTCAAGCCATGATTTTAAGTGATGGGTATCGATTGAATGTAGGATATGAACAGATTATCATTAAATAATCCAGTTTGTCAATCAATGTTGTGAATGAATGAATGGAAATAATTAAGGCATTTGAGAAATCAATGTTACACAAGAGAATTGTTCAAAATATTAAAAGATGCATTTGAGGTATTGGTGCACAATTCTGAAGAATATACAAATTAGGAGTAAATTTCGTCAATATTAGATGGGTCATTTACTTAAAAACACACACCACATTCTACAAATAGACAGGCACCTTTTAAAGTATTTTTAAGAAACATGCTTACTCTTAATCCATTCCTAACCCACTAGTAGAATATTAAGTATTTCAAAATAAATATTTTTGCTCATTTATACACTTTTCTTTTCTTAGCATCCGTAACTCTACATGGCTTATTTAACTGACATGCTTTGGAATTGGAAATATGTAGGAAAATATCATGGAATTATATAAAACACATTTATTAAAGCTCTCCATATTTTAAAGAAACACTCAATAATAAAAAGAATCACATTAAATATAACACATTAATATCTAACATTTTTTTTTTAGTTTTAAACAAAACTTAGTGTATTAGTGGACGTTGAGAGTGCGACTTTTTTGGGCAACCCAGAAGACTTGGCCTTCTTTGACAACAGATAAGCTGGAAAAAAAATGTAATAATTAATGATCATTATAATCTATATTTAAAAAAAAAATATTAGTGTATTATCCACATACATGCATACACATAAAAGAAAACTTTCTAATTCATTCTAACATTTTAATTAGTTCATTTCTGAACTAATTGATGGCTGCTTATAAGTTAAGAATATTTATTGATAATCTAATGTTTAATATCAACAATGTATATAATTATTTTTATGATTCAATAAAACTCTGTTATCCATTGTAATCAGGATCAAAACATTGCCACTTGAGCAGGAGAGCATAAGTTGACATATGAAGGTGTCCACATTTGATAGAAAACTCCTCAATTGGTGTTTTGTAGAAATGAAGCCTGCATTGACTAAGTGGCTGGAGATGCAAGGAACCTTGAAGTCCATAACTGGATGGCAGTGGCATAAGAAGAGATTCCTAGTGGCTGCTTGTTAGAGAAGACCTAGCCATGAAAACATCTTGTAGAGCCTCTCAAATGAAAGTAAGTATAAGTGAAGTTAATGCCACAGATAATGCTCTCTGTAATTATACTTGTATGATATTGAAAAACTTAAAATACACAATCCCTTCATATGTATGTATGTACATATATAGTTATTAACTACACACTATAATAAGAACAGTTTATAACTCAGTTAATCCTCTCTGGTTTGTCATCCTGTTAAAAGTCATAAGTTCACAGGTCAATTTTTTTTTTTAATGGTCTTTTCTTCATAAATTGTAGTTTCCCTCAGCTGAATTCTTGCCTCAGTAGGCGTCTCCAATCCTCCCTGCTAATTGCTTCCTCTTTTGTCAGTTCTTGGCCTGTCATAATCTCAGCCACAACATCTTTCCTACCAGATACGAGACCTTCTTCTCCTTCTACCCTTGGTCTCACGTTCAAATGCTATTTTGGGGACTTATTCACGAGCCATTCATCCTTTTAACATGACTATACCATTTCAGTCTTCTATCTTCCATTATCTCTGGTACGTTCTTTCTTGCTTCCGTTCTTTCTGTAATAGTCTCATTAACCTTGAAACTCTAACCGACTTCCTCCTATAATCCATCTCCACAGCCAGGAATCTTTTACCTAGTGATTTTTTGATGACACATTTGTCTATCTTTCATTGGAATGCCCATTTTCCTGCAGTAGGTCAAGACTTGTTATAATAAAATAATAATTAACTATAACTATTTTTCTTTTTATTCTTTCCAGAACCAGTCCTACTATAAATCATTATATAACCACATAATGTGATCTCCTACAATCAGCAAAAAAATTTAATTAATTTTTATTATAATTTGGTTTACAAGTCTAAATATAATTATGTTAATTTCTCTGTTTTAATCTACTTACTAGAAAATGACTTGTTCCTTGAGATTCTTGGGTGCTGTCCATGTAACGGTAACCTCCTTCTTATTATCAGGGTTGGTATGGGTAACAGTGTTCTAGAAAAAATGATTTTTTATACAATTGATTGTTACCTTTATTTAGAATTACTACTAAAATCAATAGTTATTGATTACCAAGGATATAATTGAAAACATTTGATATTTATTAGTTGGCTGTAAAGGAAATCATGGTTGAGATGGTGGACAAGAAAAGAATTTGAAATATTTACATTGAAAATCAATGTTTTGACCCAATTTACAAATCTTCATTATAGATTAGCGACCCTGTGTACAGAGAAGGACTGACATAACATATTGAATTGTTATCACTTAGGGCTTATAGTTAATTCTGTAAATAAAGGAAATAATTAAATAAGTCTTACAACAATAGTAAATACTACTCCTATTTAATTAATTAATTTTTTTTTATATGTGTTGTATTTATTTATTTTTACTATACACAAACAGCAGAATTAATTATAATATTAACCTATTTAACAACATTGATAACCAACAGATTTTATGTCTTAACTTCATAACAACCAACCAACTACTTCTATAGATGATATATGATGGAAATAGCTTACTATTGAATAAGTATCATTCATAATATTAAAAAGAAGAATATTAATCCTTAAACTTATCACCTTGAAGGTGAATAATTTATTCTAACTCCATGTAGTATTCTAATCATCTGAAAATCTTAATTCTTACTGAATGATTATATACAATAGCTGGTATAAAATATGCTCTTGTATTTGCATCTATTACTTCAGCAACTTAATAATTCATTCATAAATATTAACTTCAAATTTTCTAATAAACTTCTTCAAATAGTAACATTTCAAAACTTCAAAATAATAAAATAAAAATTCACCATTTTTCAGAAAATATATTTGAACTTTGAATTATGTGTTAAATTCAGTCAGAATTGCCCATCTCTCCCAAAGTCGATGGCCCAAAAACCTCTCCTTCTCCCTCCAAAGATATTTTATTGCTTACCTCTTAAAAATAGTGCATGCGAAAATGAAATTAGCAAAATCCTAGCTGATATACAATTACACTTGCTGTGGTCAGTTTCATGCCTTCCCCTTCTCCAAACGTTTGAAACTTTTTATTTCGAAAACTCATAACCCTGTTGAAATGTGGCCCCCCTCAAAAACTGAAAAATCTGTCAAAATATGCTCCCCTCATTATTTTTTATGGTGCAAATTGTGCCATGAAACTTCCTTCTGGGCACCTCTGAATTTAGTCAACTATCATCTGTTAATGGGTAGTTCCTTCAGTGCTGAGCATAGGACAGGGCAACCTGAGCACACACCTGGAGCCTGGAGACATTGACCTGAAGGGGGGTATGTTGGGGATTATCGAAAATTTGAGAGCTTATTAATTAAGCAACTGAATAAAAGCTTCCATATTAAAAGGAATACTATCCAAATTCAAAATAATATTCAATGTTCTTCAAAAGGGTCCATTTTCTCCTCCTAAATTATATATTTGTTTTTATAGCTAGGAAGGTTGGGACACTGATGACATGTTTGTCTGTGGGTGCCAATTTTCTAAGGCCTGAGTTCCTCTACAAGTTAATTTCATGCTTTTTACTCTAACTTTACGTTTGCTTGTTGTATTAAATAATGTTGTTAATCTCAATAAATAAAAATAAAATTGCAGTCAATCTATAATACAAAATAAAAATATTGCAAAATAGAAATGACACTCTATCAGTTAAAAGTACCTGAAACATGACGTTGCAGCAAGTGAGTGAATTGATTATCTCATGCAATAAATTCTAAAACTCCATTAGTTAATATAGCACATATGATTTTAATATTCCCAAATGTTCCATTTTTTTTGGCTAACAATATGAAAAGTTAAGCCAAACGCTAATAAAATTCAAGATACTATTCCGTATCTGTACAATGAGTCTTGTACCTATCCTTGTTTGGTCAAAATGTTGGCTTTTAATAAGTAGTTTTTACTGCTTGAGGATTTTTTCTTGATCTCCGCCCAAACCATATTTTCCCTCATAATAAAAAAGTGTACAAATTTTAGGATAAGTATATCAAATATCTTACTAGAAAATAAATATGGCACTAATAAAATATAAAGTATACCTCTTTAGCTGAACCACAGTCTACAACCTTGGCATTCTTGTCAGTGGATGAGAACTTTCCTACTGCTGTTCTTCCTACCCTAGCTTGCATGATGAATCCTTTGAATTGCTCACCAGTCTTTCCTATACAGGATATTACATGTATTAAAAGTATGTAAAAAAAATGGGTCAAAGACTTCCAAGGTATGATGTGTGGAATGATATATTTAAATTATTTCATAAAAATAGTACAAAAATTAACATTTAATTGTATTCATTATAGCTATTGCATGATTAGGTCTTATTTATTTTGTTCTTTGTATTCATGCAGGAAATAAAAATTTTTCATTTTCACAAAATAAAAATTTTTTATGTGTTTGTTATGTATTGTTCGTGTTTGTTGCATCAGGAGTTATAGAATAGAATTTGTAGCTTTATGTATTTATCGATAGAAATGACTGTTAGACTCTCAAATCCTCCGACTGATTCCACTCAAATGTCAAATCAGGCATGCTTCAAGTTGTCCAGGAGGTTTGGTCCATGGACTAGGGGTGCCCAGAGAGGGATTTCATGGTGCAAGTTGTGCCTTCAAAATTTTTGAGAGGGGGTATATTTTCACGGGTTTTGAATTTTTGAGGGGTACGAATTTCTATGGAGTTATGAATTTCCGGACTGAAGGACGAGGGGAAAACATGGAACAGACTGCAGCAAGTGTAATTGTATATGATCTACAATTTTTCTAATTTTGTCTTAGCTTGCTCTGTTTTTAAGAAAAGGTGAGCAATAAAATATCTTGGGAGGAGGGGAGGGGAGTAGGTTCTTGTGCCATCAACCTAGGAGAGATGGGTACCTTGGCCATAGTCGGTCAGTTTCAAAGAAAGAAATATAGGTCTTCATGCACCTGCTGACTGTAAGCAGCCACAATTCATGGATCTAGACCGATCTGTCACTATTCTTAGACCCAAAGGAGTTGGTGGAAAGATCGCTGCAAAAGGGTTAGTTATGAAGCTATGCGTGGCCTGCCTCGACACCATATAGAGACCATAGTCTGAATCAATGTGATGTTGATTGACCCCTACTAGGCTATCTATGCTCCCATAAGCACTAGCAGATCCAGGATTTAATGTTTTGGGGGGGGGAGCTTCAGCCCAAAAGATTTTTTTTCATATACATATAACCAGAATTAATTTGAAAAAAAAAGGAAGAAATTAACTATCAATATGAAATGGTGTTAAAGTGTTTCTTGAAGCCCTATTAAATGTAATTAAACGAACAAGAATACTTTAAGAGATAGTTTTTAATATTTTTTCTGTAAAACATAATTATATTTTACCATCCGCCTGTGCCCATAAGCAACATGTCTGTAAGAAGCGCACATTGCGCAACTTCTAAGGCAAAGCAAATTAACATATTGTATCAATATATATTTTTTTTCGATATTTACATCCGTACTTGACAGACTTTTTTTTAATGTTATTACTGACCTTTAATGGTAACTTTTGTAGATCCTCCAGCTTTGATGCCGTTCTTCTCAATGTCAATTATGTAAGGTGATCTAGTCTTCTGGGCATCAGCTCCATGTTGTGGGGTCAAATCTTCACAAGCATCTGCGGGAGCTCCAGTAGCATTTCCATGGACTGAGGCTACTGCGACTAGCAGGACTGCAGCAATTGTTGGAAGATACCTGGAAGCATGCCAGACCCAAATTTGTAGTTTTCGATAATAAAAAATTAAATTATTTACATAGCATGAATAAAAAATTATGACAGAAAATTTTGACTAAATACCAATTCCTGCTACAAAGTAGTACAATACTAAAAGATAATATTTAATACCTGCAGAGCGATGACTTAATCGTAGAAATCATGCTTGGCCTGGCTCTGTTTGGGACTCTTGACTAAAGTCTTAAGTGGAGTCCCCTTAGGATTATATATATATATATATATATATATATATATATATATATATATATATATATATATATATAAAGTATTTTTTAGGAATTTAAGTATTCATATAATAAATTTACCCAAATTTACAAAACAATTATTTTGTATACTATTTATTAGAAATCATGCTTGGCCTGGCTCTGTTTGGGACCCTCAACTAGAGTCTTAAGTGGAGTCCCCTTAGGATTATATACATATATATATATATATATATATATATATATATATATATATATATTTAAGTATTTTTTAGGAATTTATACATATAATAAATTTACAAAACAATTATTTTTGGGGCTAAACATACCACGATATTATATAAACATAGAATATACACTGCGGAGGGCCTCTAAAAATTTGCTGAATAAAACGAATTATTTATTTAAGTAACAATAATTAATAAACATTCTTTTTTTTTTTTTTAAGGTTCAGGAGCCGAGTTCATAAATAGATTGGTATTAGCAAATATTCATCTGCATGTCGAAAATACATCATTTATTTATCACAGAAAATAATTGATTCTTGTCCTTTTAATTCTGAGTAAATTAAATTCTAATTTTTACCAAACTGAGATAAAGAGATACCGCCATTTTGTGATTGGCGGTGCAAAAACGTACCGGACGCCTTAACATTGAACTTTAATTTAAATAAAAATTTCAGGCACTAAACGAATACAATTGGCCAAATGTACAACATTACTTGAGAAATACAAAATAATGATGTTCTGTGCTCTCCCAATTATGCTACGGCAATGATATAAGAAAATATTTTTGTTATGGGGCTCCAAAAATATATATATTTTTATCTCCCCTTCCTTGTCGTTCAGGCTCCACGGTTTTTTTTTTCTTGGCCGGGGAGAGATCTGGGGATATTATACCGAGTTAGAAGTCCCACCGGGTATCGGGATTTATATTAAAAAATATTTTTAGAGTACAAGTAAAATATAGAACAATTATTTCAGAATCCTCTCTGGGAACCCCCCTGGGTCGGAGACCCTCGGCGATTGCCGACTAGACGACCAAGCTAGACCGAACCTGTTAGAAATCGTTTTAAAACGTAACTTATATTAAAGTTTATGAATATTATTCAAAACTCTAAGGAGATTCATCCAATTATATTCAGTTCTTTAACTGTTTTTAGTAAGTTATCATTGTAAAAAGTTCATTACTTATAAGGCAGTAGATGTCATGGCAGTTGATAGTGTGTAGTTTCATGATATTAATGACGTCATAATATAAAATCTGCTTTCGAAATAGTTATGAGTTATCACTTCTTAGCTATCGAATCAGTATGAAGAGAAACGATTCGACAAGAATGACAGCAAATACTATTAATATGAGAATTGAAGTCGAATGGAAAACCGACAGAAATGAAATAAACACTGATTAAAACGTTCCGTTCTAGTAAATAAATAATTCTAAAATATTTTCCACCATGTTTGTTTATGCACTGCGTCTCTTAAGATTCGGCGTCCCAACGCACCGCATTGGTTCCATTGGCATTATCTACGCCACTGGTAACCTCTTTAGTTTTTAATTATAATTATTTCAAAATGACAACATTGTTGAAATCAAACATGATTAGTTGATCGGCCTCTTATATCAGAACCAAAGGTGAACCGGCGACCTTTGGATGAATGGCAACATCAGCTTCTCTTTCTTCGTTTCCCAATGGCCGGGCTCTTGGCTAACACGTTGAGGCACACGGTGTCCTAAATTTGTAAATAAATGTAGTTTTCTTCTCGAAATTAGCCATTCTATAGTAGATTATACCAAAGTACATATGTTTTAAAAGTAATTCTTCTAGAAAGTTAACAGCTAATGCTCGATTTGTCTATAGTTTGCTAATAATTAATATTTCACCATCTTCCATAGTTTCAACAATTAAGCTCACTAGATTTTGAATAGTATATTTTTTACTCTCACTTACCTATTTTTTATTACCACTTATTTTTGCGACGTTGCACAGACGCAATATAATATAAATGCATTTTTTTTATTCTACTCAGGTTTATTGTTAAAATCGAAACAATCAAGAAAACTGAGCAGAAAAGCAAACGACAAATAATTTGATGAAATATCAAGATACATTAATTAGAGTATTTCACAAGCTTTGTTTGATGTTCCCTTTGCCTAAATGGATTGGCCACGAACAAGAGGAAACATGGGTCTGCCAAAAGTAAGGACACTTGTTGCTCTTGCTCGCCATGGTTTGGTTCAGGGGTTTCCAGAAGAGGGTTGTATAACGCAAGTTGCACCATCAAAATTTTTGAGGGGGTGTATTTTGACAGGTTTTTGAATTTTTGAGAGGTACACATTTCAACGGAGTTATGAATTTTCGAAATGAAAAGTTTCACTGGGAAAAACATGGAACAGATAGTCCGTAGTACAGACCCCTTTTTATCGAATTATTAACATCCGCCTGAAACTTCGTAAATAGTTTCATCTCATCGTAACCTACAACTATTTTATTTACGAAAACTCTTGGAATTGGGGCGTTTATATCTGGAGGGAGTGCAAAATTTGTCTATTTATTACGTTATAAAACTCGTAAATACCCATTAGCTTTCTACTTGGATCGTAGGATAATTTGATCACAAAATCGATAAAAAAGGCGGTCTACAAAAATATAACCTTGTTATTTTAAAAATTTGGGTGTGTAGGTCACGCCAAACGGCTCAATATTTTTTAAGGCCACCTTTTATCTCGTTTTTTTCAAATTATCTTACGATCCATGTAGAAAGCAAATGGGTATTTACGAGTTTTTAGTACCTAATTAAATAGACAAATTTTGCCGATCTCCAGTTTGAAAACGCCCCAATTCCAAGAGTTTTCGTAAATAAAATATTTGTAGGTTCAGATGAGATGAAACTATTTACGTTTTAAACAGTTAAAAGTTTTAGGCAGATGTCAATAATTCGATAAAAAGGAGTCTGTACCACGGACTAAGACTGCAGCAAGTATAATTGTATATGGTCTACGAATTTTCTAATCCTATTTTCCTTTGCACTATTTTTTATGGAAAGTAATCATCTTGAGAGAGGAGGGGGTAGTTTCTTGCGCCATCGGCTTTGTGGGGAGGGATGGGTACCCTTGTGGTTTGGGTAATGTGTAAACCCGACTTAACGGTAATTTATTATAGACAAGGAAATACTATATGCCTACTATATAATAGTTATCATATTCTTTTCAATGCATTCGTCAATACAAATTTCTTAGATTTTAAGTTATTTTATGCTCGTTTGGGATCATTGAAAATATTGATGTGGACTAATGGGACAATTTCAAATATTGAATGGACTCGTCCCAAACGTCCCCGAATATGGATCAATGTCTACACGATTTACATTGGTGTTGGGGCAGAACTTTGGGGGGCGGAAACCCTCCAATTGGGCAGAACTTTATTTCTCAGCAAAATTACGATAAAAAATATGATTTTGACATTTTCTGAAATAAAAGTAGCATTGAATTCATATTAATAAAAAATAATGCTAATTTCATATATATATATATATATATATATATATATATATATATATATATATATATACTAGTTAGCCCGTGCAAATAATTCCCAGAAAAATTTGTTTAGTGAAGTAATAGCAAAACAATATGGAAATATTGTTATGTAGATCTTATTTATTATGTGAGAGAGGAATTAATTGTTTTTCCTTGGTGGTTTACAATATTCCATTAAACATAACAGACCAAAATATTTGTACAAATCGTTTTGCTAGGGCCTATTTTTAAACGCTGACTAGAAAGGCAATATTCAAAATTAATAAAGCTTTCATCATGGGATAAATTATTAAAAAAAATAAAATGGAGAAACAAGAATGGGTTTAACAAATAACAAAGTATATATCAGCCAGAAAAAAAGGGTAAAATAATAGTAAATACAGTATCTTTAAAGAGGAATAAATTATTAAGTATAACAAAACTAATGGACTAAATCTTTGTTAATAATTGTCCAATTTTTACGATTTTTTTTTTTTTGCACGTAATTTAGTAATCTTTCTAATTATCATGGGAACAATAAAAAAAAATGCATAATTTTTGAGTTATTTGCAAATAAAGTTTATTTTACTTCATAACTTTTTCCCTTATATTTTGAGGGAATGTTTTTCCCACTGACATTTTTCCCACCTGAAGGTTAAAATCTTTAAAATCAGGGCTCAACCATTGGATTTGAAGAAGAATTGACGAAATTATGGCGTTGCGACAAAAAAAAACCACCTTTTAGAAATAATATATAAGATTACGTCTACAAGGTTAAGCCTGTATAAAAAAAAACATTTAAATTGAAATATATACCATTTTTACAAAATTTTGTTCTTTTTTAAAGACTTTTTCACGGCAATGCAGTAGCACATCCATCATTTAATTTTTTTTGGAGATGTACCTTCAGCCCGATATGTTTTTTTTTTTTTCATATATATAACGTATTTAATTACTTTGAAAAAAAGGAAGAAACTAACTACCTTTATGAAATAGTGTTTAAGAGATACTTGAAGTCCTATGAAATGTAATTAATTACACGAACAATAATACTTTAAGAGATAATTGTTTTATATTTTTCTCCATAAACAGGATTAAATTTTACTATTTTGAGGGGGGAGGGACTTCAGCCCGAAATTCACCAACGTTGATCCGCCTGTGCACCACTGTATATCTAAGTTTAATCAAGAGACATTTCTTTAACAAAAATACATAAAGTTAATGTATGCAATATTTTC